GGGCGGGCCAGAGAGGGAAGGGGCGGGGCGCGACCTGCGGCTGAGTCTCAGGTGTCCACTTGGGCACGGAGCTGTGCCCAAGTCGCAGGTGCGGGGGCTGTCTTCCTGCGCGGCTTTAAGAGGCACTTCCGCCCGCTCGCTCGTGCACCGGCCCCTGAGCCCGGTCTGCCGCGGGGCTGCCTCCCCTCCGCTCGGCTTCCCCACAGCCCCGTGCCCCTCGCCACGTGCACAGGACGCGGTGCCACTGGCGGCAACCCGTGGAAACGTGCGAGTACAAGGAAACGCCTCAGACAGCCCAGTCCCGAACTCCTTGCATCGAGCCACTCCCAACCCCCTCCACTTCCCCGCCAGGAAAACGCACCTCTGCCGCTGCGGCATTACACCCCCGCCCCACTTTTACCCACGCCAAGGGCAGCGTGTAAGATCCTTTTTCTTTTCTTTGCATGCCAAAGGCAATAACCCTCAAGAAAAGAAAAAAAAGATGAAAAAAAATGGTGGGGGAGTGAAGGATCTCTCAATCGCGGAGGCACTAAAAGTCACCGTCAACTAGTGGCTGAGTTAGAGACCGCAGGGCCTGATAAATAGCTCTGCACCTCTGCCCCTTCCCACCTTTTAATTTTCTCTCTCTCCTCTTGGGAGGAAATTGAAGGGACAATATAATGCCATAGTACCTAGAACATTCCCTCGCATTTTGGAATTGATTAGCGTCAGCTTTCAAAACCCATAGACAGTATATAGCTGTCAAATGAGGAATACACACAATCTCCCTTTCCAGTATATTAGTACAGTATGCATACACGTACACACACGCTGTATATACATAAATAAACAGGAGAAATATTCGGTAAAAGCTGTGTTAACCTGTGTGGGGGGGAAGGGGCGGGGGTAATCTAAAAAATCTGGTTATCGGAGGCAAGGTTTTCAACCTTTTTGAAAACCCCTGCAGGGGTGGCTGCTCCCCACCCCCCAGCCTGAGAGAAATTCCAGTTAATAGAGTATTCTGGATAGTAGAATGCCAGTTAACAGCTTTTATTGTATATAGTCATTTGACTGCTATATACTGCCTATAAGGTTTTGAAAGTATCAATTCCAAAACGTGAAAGGCATCAAATCATATATGAAAACCATCAAAAACAGAGTGCCAAGCTGTAGCCAGACTGGCCTATTAGCAGTTTATTTTCTTCAAATGAGGGGCCAACAAAATACATGGAAAGTCCTATCAATTTAAGTTATTGCTGGAGGAAAGCGAAAATTAAAAATTACTACTTGTCACTGCTCAGGATAGCAAAGAGGTTACAGAAATTTGGAAATCAATCTTTGGCAAGACCCAAACCAGCATTTGTATCCTATTAAACGACTAGTACTAATCACACCAATCCATATGTAAAGTCTTGAGAAGTAGTTAGTTTGTGCAATTTGTGCTTTTCAGCCCATGGGAACAGTTATACACAGCCAGCTCTGGGAGCTCCTGAACACTCTGCAACTCCCCAGAGCTGGCATGGAAAGCAGCCCCAGTCACAAACTCCGGAAGCCTTGGGATTGCTGGCTTCAGTACAGCGAGCCTCAACAGACCATCCCAGGGCCATGGACCCTGGAGACCAAGATTCCCATGCATCTCACCAGGAAGCCAAGGAGGTTTCCACTGAAGCCTTCCTACAGCTCAATAAGAGTTCATGATATGTTCCACAAAACATTGTGTTCAATAAATTGGCATTTTCCAATTCCTGACCAGCTCTATGCTACTAATTGATATTTATAAGGCTTCACACAGCACAAAAAAAATTAAAATCAGCAGACAGCATAATGTCAGAAGGAACTAGGTTATCTAGACAGCTGTCTACTGAGTTGGGGGGGGTGGGAGATTATGATTTTAAACCAGAATTTACTACAAGAGGAGTCAAGCTAATAAAATGTAATCCATTATTCATTCTGCAAACTTTAATATTTCAAGAAAAATCAAGTTATTATACACATTAAAAATAGAGGAAAAATCATGCAGATACATGAAGTTTCCAATTCAGTTCTTTGTAACTGATTTTAGATACATATAAATAAAAATACAGGACACTACATTTGTCAAACTTACTCCATATAAAGAAGTGTTACATAGCAGATTATGCAGCGTCTCATTTTTATAATTTTGCACACTCAATACCATATACAACTCAATAATGACTTAAGTTGTCCTGGTTTCAGCTGTTCATTATACTAATTTTCCCTGTGAATACAACATTGAGAAAGAGAAGAATTAAGACACACTGAATAATACACAATTATCCCTGTCCATTAATGTACAAAAGATCATCTTAAAAATTAGTACATTTGAATAGAGATGGAGGATCACCAATTCATATGATTTATCTGGAAGATAACATTGCCTCCAACTCCTATATTTCTGAAAGGAAAGTTTATGGAAACATGTATTTGAATTGATATTCCCTAAACTGAAAGTAAAACGGCATACTATTGTATATCTAACAGGTATTTAGAGTGAAGAACACTGATGTTTCCCAAAAGGGGCTTAGTGAAAAATGGCACATTTGACAAGTCTGGGGAATCGGAAAACAAAACCGAGAAAGAGAAAAAATTCTTTAGGGACTAAATTCAGCAAGAGTTAAATTGTGCATCAGTCACTAGGATAGTACAAATTTACACATGTAAAAATGGGAATACCTCTTTTACAGGAGAAATGCCCACTGAATAAAAAGAAAGAGACAAGGCAGAATGGGCAGTATTACAGAACTAAGTGTTCAGGAACTTTACGATCAGTATTTACCGACCATGCCTTATTTCAAGGGATTTTAAAATATTAGTAGGATTTTATTGAAATGTATCTTTCTTCTATGAGAAGTTCATAGTAAAAGCATTAGAGCAGATTGTACCACAAGGGAATGAAAGCTACAGGAAACCATCCGTTGCTTTATAAAAATCAGAAAGTTTGTTTCATTTCAAGGAAGTAAAAATCAGGTTACAATAAACGTCACTTGTGGCTGGGCAAATTTTAGCCTTTTTTTGTTTGTTTGTTTGAAGGCAAAAAAAAAAAAAAAAAAAAAAAAATGTCCTTAATACTTTCTCAGTAAAAACAGAACGTCCAGGCTCTGGACAAGTAAACTTTTACAGACAATGTTGGTCTAATACTCCTCATTGGCAGGTATCCTGAGAGTTTAAAGTATGTCTATAGGCTTTCTGCTTCTAGATAGTGTTTATGTAATAATAATAATAATACAAATAATAAAAATAGAATAAATCCACAAAACAGAACCAAACCAAAAAAGCATAACTTAAAATTCCCAGGTAAATTAAAGCAAATCCAGAGGCACGATATACCTGCCTTACTGAAAAAAGATAAAGCTAGAAATGGCCTTACAAAGGATGCAGCCAAGCAAATTCCAGAAGAAGGGGTCACAGTTAGATGAAAGCAATGGAGTTTAACAGTACCATAACGTGGGGTGGGTTAGTGGGGCATGTGACCCAGGCACCACCTAAGGGGAAGAGCACCTCACTCCTCTACCCCACTGGACTTACACTTCCCAGCTGTGCATTGCAGCAGCATGGAGCATCTTGTGTCATAGAAAGCAAGTGTTCTGGGAATCATAGTTTTAAAATATCAGCAATGAAGTTTGCTGCTGCTGGGGGGAGAACTGATCCCAATTTTGCCACCAAAATCAGCAGATTTTTGCCCTCTCGATATGGGCTTTGGCAGCAAAAATATAGGAGTAAAAGTTCCCTCCACTGCCATTCTGGAAATCTGTCATTCCCAGAACACCTTACACTTCATGATGAACATCATCCATGATGCTGCTCGCTGTTGTTCCTCTGTACTGCCTAGTGGGAAAAAGAATAAGAGCACTGCCCTGGGCACACTTGCCCTGGGCATATTTTTCTCGTATTATGCTTCTGGAGTTAAAAACAAAAACAAAAAAAACCTCACATTATATTCCAGTGCCATTAGCAAGAAAGCCCCCTGAAAAAGCCTCAGTTCCCCATAATGCCTTTTTCATTTTAAAGGATTTTTAAAAATGGATGACAATGTTGCTAAGTTAATGATGTCAATGTAAAGAAAACTAAGTAGCTAATTTGATTCCTTTAAAAACACAGGATATTTTTAAATATTTTTTTCACTGAAAACATATGTATAACTTCAAAAGTGACAGAAGCTTTCCTGTATAAAATTACCAGGCAATTTAACATAAAGAAATAACAAAATTAGAGGTAGATTTAGTGTAGCATGGGTAAATTGCCTTAAAGTTCCAGTCAAGTATCTAACAACTGACCTATAAATGTTGAATAGATATAGAAGCTCTTGCTAAAAAATGCATATGATTTATACAGTTTTTTCCATGCTCATATTAATGGTAACAGTGGCACAGCTGTCTCAATTATGTTCAACTGCTTTCCTTAAAAAAGGAACATTTTCTGTTGTTTATGATCTCTAACAAAAAAAAAATATTGCTTAAAAAAATAATGTTGGCTTAAGCAGCAGATAAATTAAACTAATGAACTTCTAGTCGGCCAAATGCCTGACACACATTAGGGCAGGTCTTCTGGCTTGAAGCTTATTTACTATGGCTCCATTGTGACAAGCTGCTTTAACCAATCAGTATGTCAAATTGCCTATAGATTAGTTGCTTTGAACAGACTGGTGAACCTAAGGGCTGAGAAAATTACAGCTCCTAAACTATTCTATATTATTTCTTTTCTCAATCCTACAGAAAATAGTTTCAAAATTTATAAAGGTCACTATGAACAGCTTTCACAAAGCATTTTACCACTTTTCAACAACTCCAGACTTCACACCTTTTAAAAATAATAAATTGCTCGTTTAGAAATGCTTCTCTCAGAGTGGCAGAGTTTGTACTATGCAAACTTCTGATTATTTGTAAATCAACAGGAAAAAAAAATGAAAACCATTGGAATTTAATGAAAGAAAACAGACAGAATATATAAAGTCAATCTTGTATGGACAGACTCATGGCAGACGCACTGAAACCATGGGAGGTTTTTATGACTTCTGACTTTTAAAGCACAAAGACAGTGTATTGTGAACATTTTCCCCTCCATTTTCACTACTGCAGTACAAATATGCATGGCATAGTACGTCAGGATAGCAATACAGATTAAGAAAATAGACACTATCTAAATTATGTTAGGAATAAGAAGGCACCACTGATTTGAGGTTGTGTCCAGCCATTACCCACAGTCCATTTTGTCAATTCTAGCACTAACTCCAACATTTTTTCCAAATAATCTCTTTGAAACACTGCTATTCTGGTTTCCTAACTACAAACAACACACATTCATAGTAGTATTTCATCATGGAGAGTTCATTCACAGTGTACGTGGACAAAACAGATTCTCTCTCTACCTGAAAATAAAAATTCAAAAGTTACAGGATATTTTTCCGTGACACAGTAGTTTCTCCAACAATTCAATCCAAAGTATTTTTACTCTAAAGAGGCATTACTACTGGACATTTCCTATCGGGGTCCTTGGCCCCTTAATACATACAAAATTATCACAACTAGCAGCAAGATTTTAAAAATATAAGTATCTAGAATTTACTAGCGTGTATTATTAAAATAATTACACTTAAGTAGTGCAAGTTTTGGCTATAGCCTACCTCCTTGAATGTTACTAGGAAACTGCAATGTATTCTTACCTCTATATGGAATCCATATTGTAATATAACGTTTTTTATATCCTCATAACTCAACTCTATAGAAAGTTCATTTGCCAAATTTTCAAAGTGATAAAGGAGAGGACCTAAGGTACAAAAATCAAATGTTTCAATACCACCAAGTCTCATTATATTTCATGAGTACATTTTTATTAGGTCTTTTATATAAAGGTAAAACAACAGCAAGGTATGCAATCAACGAAGTGTATAATTTCCTGATGTCTTTATAGGAGCTGACAATTATGTCTAAAAATCACGGTTGACTAACGCTTTCTATTATAAACCCATTTTTATCCATCTGTTTTGAGCTTTACCAAATCAGCAATTTTTAAAAATTATGTTTTGGCAAAAAAAACTGTTCAATTATTCTGTTAGCAAAGTTTGGGAAATAGACTTGTTTGCCCTTATTACATTCTTGTAACTAAAAGAACATTAACATTAAAAAAACCCAAGTTCATTCCACTTATTAAATGAATGCAGAAACAAGAAGCTTATAATTTCTATTCATAATGAATTTTAGAATGAACATGTAAAAGAAGTTATGTTGAATCATACACTAAAATGATTCCTCATTTCTTGCTTTCAAATACAGATGTGAAAACTGGCAAGGGGGGAGACCTGGAACCAGGTGCTTTTGCTTCCTGTCAGAATTCACGCAGATTTGGCCAAACAGAGAATTTGAAAAAAAATTAAAAAGTTATTTGAATATGCTCCAAAAGGTTTGAGAGAATCTGGCAGCCCAAACTACTGCAGACTAAGGTAACAGATGCTAGGTAGGACTTTTCCTAAAACTGCTCTTTTGAGTCACCAGGAGTCACTACCAGGTCATGCAGAATAACTGAAATAATTTACCTAAATTTATCCATATTCCTCCAGGCTTGAGTATTTTCCATATTGTATCAATGTAATCAATAACGTTATGTGCTGTGTCTATGAAGAAGCAGGTAGCTATACAGTCCCATGTATCTGTGCAAAGAAAAATAGATTACTAAATATACCCCAAAAAAACAATTTTAGTTAGTAGTAAAGATAATGGTTAGAATTTGGTAAGAAAGTTTTGTAAGTCTGTAATCTTCAAAATAAATGTTTTGAAATAAACATTTAATTTGAGATTTATTTCTGAATTGACACCAGCATTCATTTGCTAGCTTGTGGATAGATTTAAAGCTATAAACATAACTCCAAGTTACTCAACTTGTGGGGTGGGGGAAATCTCTATATAAACTCTGCCAGAAAGCTAGGTTTTGTCAGGAGAAAATTTAAACACAGAAAGAGCAAATAAACCTGCTTGTTTTAATAGGAAACAATTATGCAATCCAAACAAGGATGCCAACAGCAAGAAAGAAATAGCTCTACCTAGTCAGTTTGGTACTGCGTGCAGATGAGTAACCTCAAGATACAGGTAAAATGCTCCACCTTCTGCACTCTTACCACTACTATGAGGCAAGGCCTTAAAGATTCAACTGCTCATAAAAAAGAACTGGATAAACGCTACACACTGTTCAGGATCCTAGATCTAATTTAAATAACTAACTGGATAAATACTATATGCACCTATCTGTTCCATATTAAACTGGGATTGAATTAAGTGAGAAACACCACCAGATTTCTATAGAAGTGACACATCCAGACAAATCTGGCTACTGACAATGAGGAATATCCGTGTCTTTTGTAAATATTATCCTTTAGTTAATTTCTAAAATACTTGTCAATGAGCAAGTCTACCCTAGATGCTACTGCACGTTTATTTAGTACTTGTATAAATGAGCAGCAACTGGAGTTACTGTGTAGTAGCACCAGCAAACACTTTTTAAGTGGCACTGCTGCACAGTAATGTCTCAGCGTGTTTTTCTCCATGCAACACTACTGCACAGTATTATTGGGCTACTGCAGAGTCAGCGTCTCATGTAGATGTGCCCAGTGACTGCCAGTAAATGTATACTTGATTTATTTGTAAATAACTACTCTGCAATAATTTGTAGTGACTTATTTCATCAAAGAAAAGCTGCCAAGCAACAATACTGAACTTTAGTCCAGCATTACAGCAGATAGGCTGCTTATGACATTTATTTCTTTAAAACCGCTTTTCTAATTCAAGTGAGACAAACAGGATGTTATAAACTTACTTGGGAAAGTTTTCTAGACTATCACTGTTCTCATTAAAATCACCACTGCAAGTAGAATCCATTTTATACACAAATGTGCTATAGATTATCTATACGTTCTGACTGAAGGAAGAGCAACATTTATTTTGGCTGTGAAAACCTAGGTGCATTCTTCAACTTTGATGTTCACTGTAGTAACTGAAAGCATGATTTTATTTTATTGCTTAGCAAATTTCTGCCATACCATAGTGGGTGTATGTTAAAGATGCAATATGTACTGTAACCAGTAATTTTGACATCTATAATTTATCTACTTACTGCACTCAGAATAAATTTCCTGAAAATCCCCCGCAGTCATAGAAAAGTTTGCACCAGGAGGAAGATTGTGGGGGTCAACATCAGGGAAATTAATTGGTCGTATCTGATCAGCAGATCTTCGGTTATTGCTAAACTGATGAATCCAGGGATAAAGTTTATAGGAATTAATTTCAGAGCATCTGCAAAATATGAAAGTCAAAACAACAAAATTAGTCATTCATTTTACAAATATAAAATGATTTACTTTGGTTTTCACCAGTGTCCACAATGAATGTACTTGATAGCAATGTAGACTTTATAAAAATAATTCTATAGGACTTTTACTTAATTACTTTTACTTACATTCATTAAATGAATGACTGACTTTTAACAGAGAACAGAACTATTTTACTCCTTAAAAACACAGTAGCAAGAAGCAACTGTTACTAGCTATACTGAAATGCACTTTCTTCTTTTAGCCTCTTATTTTTCCAACATTTTTCATTTATGTTGATCTTAAAGCAAAATTAAGAATGTAATTCTTTCTCCAAGATGGTGAAGACTTCCATTACAAATGTTCAGTAGTGCTAAGAACCAAGAGAATTTGCTTTGCTGAAAGAGAATCTTTATTTGTTTTTACAAGAGAAAGAGAACTTCACTCTTATATTTATAATTTCCTGTGAATACCCATTTTAATGCTAGATTTAGTAATATGTACTTTCTTAAAGCTATAATGCTAGGGTCAAAGTAAATGTATTTTTTTCTGAAACTATCATCCTTTAATCTAAAGACATACTTTTGTTCATTTCAAAAAAACAGGGCACGTCTACATATTCATTAATGCATATTTAGTTTATCACTTGCTTAAGTAAGTACTAACTAAATGCAAAGTAACTAAAATTATTGCACAACAGCGCCAGCACATTTTTTTTTAGTGATGCTTACTACGGAGTAGCCTAATACTACTGCGCAGTAGCGTATTATCACAGGTTTTGCCCAACATGCTACTGTGCAGTGTTATTAGGCTACTTCGCATAAAGTGTCTCATGTAGATGTGCTCATTGACAGCACCACAATTTAGCTGAACAACCTCACAAAATTTCAAGTGTTTTTACTCTAATTTTATGGAACACAAGACAAATTAACTTTGGGACCCTTATGTAGTTTAATTCAACTCTGTAAAATAAATAAAAAGCTCCGTTTTTATAGTACTAATCCATATTTGCTCATACTGTAAATTAAAAAGGCATACTTCTGGTAGGCCTGCAAACTCACCCTAAGACCTAGGCTGCACTCAATTATTCTCAATCATGCCCATTAATGAAAGCAGGGCTACACCTACGTAACTGAGGACAATAGAAAAATGCAGTGGTAACAGGGCAAGACTCATCCCTTGTTTTGGAGATACCAGAAAATAACATCATTTATCATTACATACAAGGGCAGCTTGCAGAGTTAATAGAAAATGCATCCATCCACTTGAAGCTGAAGCAGATGTGCTCTGAAGAGTGAAAGAAAGGTATAGAACCAAAGATGCCCTGTTTACAGTAAAACCATTTTTATAGGCTGTGAGCATCAGTACAACAGCTGGGATTATCAACTGTTTGCCTATATATTATAAAGAATTAAGTATGCATAATTCTAGCACTCCAAGGGAAGAAACCCAAACTGTGGATACATAGTTACATTTCCTAAAGTTACTCTAAGCAAGATAGTGTTTAAAAGCCTGCTAAAACAGAAACACAACCTTTTTGGTAAAGATACGCTATGCTGTTCATTCATGCATAATCCAGATGGTAGGGGTGTGCAGAACGGGCTGTGTTCAATTTGGATTCGGCCCAAATCAGGGACAGTGATTCGATTCGTTGATTCGGATCACTGTCCCCAATTCAATTCAGCTGAATCCAAATCTGAAGATTCAATGCTGATTTGGAGAATCAGCGATTCGGCCACAGACACAGCTTTAAATGTTTTTTCGGTCCACTTCTGGGTCTGCTGCCAAACATGCAGGAGGGCTCCCCCAGGTTAGCAATTGGCCATGGGGGGACCCCAGGTCCCCCCGTACCCAGGATGCACCAGTCGCTGAGCCGAGGGGGGGGATAGGGGACGCGGCCCCCCCCTCCCCCAACATGCTCTCCGGCAGACCCAGAAGTGGACTGGATGTACTTCTGGTCCACTTCCAGGTCTGCTGCCAAGTGCACTGGGACCCCACCCCCCCCACGGGATGGTCCATTCGCCCCACCATCTCAGCATTCACGAGCCACCTGGTACCTTGAAGTATGTAGAAAAAACATTTCAGGCTGTGTCTATGTCGAATCATCGCATCTTTCCAAATTAATTCAAAGGGTTCCAATTTGATTCGGAGAGATTGAAGAGTTTCCCCGATTCGCAGATTTGGGCACTGAAGCAGGCCAAATCTCTGCCGAAACAAATCAGTGGCCAAAACTTCGCATAGCCCTACCAGATGTCTCAAACATCAATAACATCATAACGTTTCGTAAGGGAAATGGCTCCATTTTACAAATGAGGAAACTGAGACAAGATTAAACTGACTTGCATGAAGTCATAAAATCTGCGAAAAGTCAATAAGAACCCAAATCTCCTAATTCCTAATTTTAGCATAGATCTATCCTAATTTTACCTTAGAGAAATGAGAAACAAGGAGGTAAAACATTGCCTCATCTACTGCAGTAGGTTCAGATAGTCCCTTAATTACATTTGGGAGCCCTCCTTTTTCATCACCATAGACTTGCACTCCAACTAGATGGTTCTCAAATCTTGTTAGACTCAGAACACTCCTTGAAAAATACCAGCTCTTAGTTTTCACTTGGTTTTTTGACTATAGAAAAATAAAACAGTTTTTCTGTTGCAAAGATCTCAGAGACCACAATAGATTAGAATGTTTTTAACTAGAGCTGTGTGAAGCTTCGGTAGCCGATTCGATTTGGAAGAGATTCGGCCCGATTTGGCGGCCAAATCTCCAAATCCAAATCGAATCAGGAGACCCATTAATTACTCCCAATCAAGTCGGAGGCCTCCGAATTGATTGAGAGAGATTTGGCTATGGACTGTACAGGCAGGCACTGGGCAGTGCCAGCAGGAGCAGCCGGATGAGCAGCTGGCAGCCCCAGAAAAAGCTGCAGCTTGTCTGGCTGCTCCCCCAGCTGCTCCCCCGCCGGGGCAAGGCAGGCAGTGCTAGCAGCCCTGCGAGAAGCCGTGAGGGCTGGGGGGATAGAATAGGGAACTGGGGAACTAAACTGGGAGCTGGGGGAACAAACAAGGGCTTCCCCCCAGGTCCCAGTTCTATCTCCCAGCTCCCAGTTTGATCTCCCAGCTCCCGGCTCCTAATCATTCCTCCTGCGGCTTCCCCTGGGGCTGCCAGCAGTGCCTGCCTCGCCCTGGCAGGGGGGCAGCTGGGGGAGCAGCTGGACCAGCAGTGGCTCAAGCTGGCAGCCCCAAGAGAAGCCACGGGGGCTGGAGGAAATGATCAGGGAGTTGGGGGGGTGCAGCTGGACAAGCTGTGGCTTCTCCCAGGGCTGCCAGCTCAAGCCGGGGCTCGTCTGGCTGCTCCCTCAGGTGCTCCCGCTGGCACTGCTTGCCTGTATAGTCTATGGCCAAATAAGATTCAGCACCGAATATTTTCAGATTTTGATTCAGCCAAAATCGAATTGGGACAGTCAATGAATCGAATCACTGTCCCTCCGAATCGCCAAATCCAAATCGAATACTTTCCACTTCACACAGGACTATTTTTAACACTATGGATTCCTATTTGAAGTTTCTGGGTTTACCTCATAACTCATGTTTCCACTGTTAACTGGGGCCCCGCGGAACCCTTGAAAGGATCCCAAACTGCCACAATACTCCAACTGAGAATCACCGCTCTACACCAAATACCTGGTGTAGGCCCTTTGATGCCCACCCTTCAGCCAACAATGACTGGCTGTAGCTGTCTTTCAAAATTTATCAACCACTGCTCTTAGATGGTAGAAACGTTATATGTTCCAAGAAGGAATGTTCCAGTCCTAGGCTGAAGGTAACAAGTCTCCACAACTGTTTGCCTAAATTTATGTGAAATTACAAGTAACATAACAACAATCAGGTACAAATGATACCAATTAACACTCCTCTTCTCCACTCCTCTTTATTTACATCCAAAACACAAATATTTAATGGTTCAGTAAAGCTAATCAGTAGGAAAAATAAAAAGAAACATTGATTCTAAAGTGTAATGAATTTTGGGAAAGAGCCCCTAATGGTAAGGAGACTTGCTATTATTTTTTTTGCCTTATGGACTCTTACTTTTGATTCAAGATATAGATCCAAAAAGGCTGCTTCATCTTGGGCCATTATAGACAGAATCCCAAATCTTACACCTCATGTACAGCAAGGCAGTCTATTTAAATGTCTCATGGCTAGTCTCTTGGAAAGTTAAAGTGAATCAACTGAAGGTGTGAATTCAATGTGCAAAGTTAAAGCATGTTAACTAGAGGTTTTTAGCTGGAAAGCAGCTTTTATTCTTGTAGCTCAAACCTTCTCAGAAAATCTTTTCATCTTCCAAGACGTGAAAAAACTGCACATGCTACCACCTAAACATCCTATCAAGTTTAAAGTTTACGTTTTTTCTTTAAAAAGTCTTGGGAAAATTAGAGTCAGCCAACCAAAGGTGACGATTGTACATCAAATCACATTCAAACTCCTTTGGATATGCATTTTTCAGGAGTAAAATGGCATTAAGTCATTCCTCCTAAGGCCACTTTTCTATTGAATAGGAATATCCTCACAGGAATTTAACATGCTTTAATGCATCAACATTGTCTTTGACCATCATGGTCTCTAGTTATGTGGTCATCAAGAGTAACAATTCACGGCCTCTTTCAAGGAAGTGGTACAGGTTATTAAATTAAGATGAAGCAAATATTTTTAAAAATATGAGAAAAACATTAGCTAGTGTTTAGAACAGTGGTTCCAAACCCAAATAGAGCTGTCCCCTCACCATATTTTCCTGATGCCAGGCTGTGCCATCCTTGCTGCACTGAACATAGGAAGCCACACAGCTGCATTTATACAATGTTTCACTTGTGCTAATCAACTCTGCACCATATCCTAAGGGTGCAGATCATAGAGGAAATAAGATACAAGTCTTTTCATGTGCAGAGAAGGAAGGGCAGAAGGGATAGGGTAGGTGGGCCACAGCATA